CGACATATCGAATGCCTGCAATTCGTCTGACAACAAGACGGGTGATCAAGCCGTTGCGTCAGCTAAGAGAACAAAGAAGAGAAAAAAAATACTCAAAAAAATGTGAGGTATCCGGCGCTCTACGAGCTCGCGTTGTCGATTGGGTGTCGATAGTCAAGCGAGAGAGAGAGTGAGAGCGGAGATACACACGAGAGCGTCGAGACGCGAGATGAGTAGTAGTGTCTCGAATTCTCGAACAGCTGGGGCTTTCCCCGAGTAGGTACAGGGTTATTTATACTAGTGTAGGATAATATTAAGTAAGCTGAAAAGAGAGAGAGAAAATGAGATGGTGAATGAATAAGCGAGTCTGGGCTACGATAGGAGTAAGGCGGTTGTCGGACGGCGTCCGAGAACCGAATAAGGAAGCGAGAGTTCCGTTTTTGGGGTAGTAAGCGCTGGCCCTCTTACAAATAGTGCCTGCCACTCATCAAGGTATTTGAGGCGGACTAGACGGACTATGAACGTCTCTATTCCCTCTACCTCGCTTACCTCCACTGAACTCGCTATAGACTCTTTTTCTCCTAGTCGCGTCACTATGGAGTCCAAGTTCGACCACTTGGAAGCCGTCCCGTTCTCCGAGGGACGCGGTGAAATCACCTATATCTTTCGTGACCAACGGACGAAGAAAGTAGCCCCTGTGTACACTCTGTGGGATATTTACTGCCTCCAGACTCATGATATGCAAGACTATGACCGGCAGGTGCGTGTCCAACGCCGCCGTACACCACAGCTGCTGATACGCGAGGTAAGCATAAGATCATGTCTGTATGAGGCTTCCGCGGTCTATGTCTCACCTGGGACGTCCCACAGGATGATTGTGTCGTACAAGACAACACACCGCCCCAGCCAATTCATACCAAGGGTCAGCTGGCGAGCTGGATCGGATTCGAATACTTCAATTACTACAATGTGAACCTTGATCTGATTGCTGACCCTTTTCTCTGGATTTGTGTACGCAGGAGAAAGGGATGACTCCACGAGAAGTACGGAATATCATGGAGAACACCATCTTAGTGGCCGTACATCGGTGCCAGGCTTATTATGGTAACGGCTGGCGTGCTGAATTGATCCCCCGTGAAGATGATCCCATTGCTGCACTCGATTCCAGTGAGAGGTCAATCCTTCCGGACTTGTCCGGGCTCTCACTGGAAGACGACTGAGACACATTCTCATACGCTCGTAGTTCCCTCATGTATCTATGTCGAGCTCCTTTATGTGCAATTTCGTGTAAACAACCCACCGGCCAGAATCCTCATTGCGCTCCTTCTCTCTAGAAAAGAGACATGCCCACTGTAAGCCTGGCAGAGAGCTGTATGAATGCAGAAATCGGAGTAGAGATGACGACCCTATACCAGTATATTCTGCCCCAACCCCATAATTGAAATCCTGGTCTCCGTCGAGGCATACGCCAAACGGTATCAGTTTATCAAGAGATAACATTTTTCTACCGGCGTAATAAGTTCTCCGTGTGAGCTGTCTCTGCTGCGGTAGAGGCCACGGGAAGGTAGGAAAATGCACTTGAACACGAAAAGTGAGCGATGACTGTAAGGATGTAGACAGCTTTGCTCATGCCAATTGCATACATCCCGGACTTGACGTGGAAGTAGTGTACATGGCAGAAATGTTTTGGGCTATTCTGCCGGCAGATATGGCAGAAATGGCAATTGCCATGGTCGGCAGAAACTGGCAAATATTTAAGCGCCTCCATGGAGAGACATCGAGTCCGGAGTGAGTTTCTCTTGACATACATTCATCAGAGTGCCCTAGGAAGTACCTAAAAATGTTATAAGCTTACCAGTGGGCCTCAGATGGGGTTTCAAAGCTTTCTGAAGGGGTGTAGTGCATGAAGAGCGGCGTAGGCTGCTCCTCATTGTTCTAGCGCCGGTCACACTTTCACCAGAAAACAAGATCAGAGCAATCAGTATCGCCCTGAGCCCTCAGAACGCAATCCTGTGGAAGCCGTCACATAATAGTACCTTTACAGGGCTTCTGTATGAGTACCCAGGCATCAGAAGCCCGCGGGAACCACCCCTACGACCATTTTCCGGTATGAGCGCTAATTATATCTGCCAATATTTGCCAGTGCAGGCCCGCTGGCAGAACGGCAATTGCCACTGGCAGAATGGCAGCGGCAGAATGGCAGCATTCTGCCGCGTACACTACGTGGAAGTAACTTCATAGATCATCATCAGTCATCACGATGTCCGCAATCGACCAAAATCTCAGGGGTTGAACACGGGCGATGAACAATGGGAACTCGAAAAGCTATGACTACGCCACACCAAGTAATGCATAATTGAGCGGAGCGGCCGCAAGGTAGTCCTTCCACTCTCTCACGACATTCGCGACTTCGTCATGCATGTTGAACGCCCCGAAGGTCTTTCCCAGCGCGGCATAGACGTTCCCGAGCCACCACGGCAGCCCCGGAGGAAGGAAGCATTGCGTCGTAGCGGCGAGGACGTCGATCTCTCCTCGTAGGTACTGTCGGATGGGTTGGTCGGGGGAGATCCGGCCCTCAGCGAGCCAATGCTTGCTGAACTTCAGGGCGCTCCCGAAGAGCACGAGGTCCGCCAACCAAAGGCAGTTGCGTCCGTGGACGTCGTACCGCCCCACACGCTGTTGGATGATGTCGAGGAGTTGGGCGAGAGCGTCGAGGGACGGTCCGCCTTGCACCGGGTGCCCAGGTGAGAGTTCAAGCGCGGCGAGACGGCGGTCGCACGGGCGGATGAGGGCACTGCGGTCGTCGGATAGCTCTGCAGTGAGCACGGGAACATTCTCTCCGACGGCGCGGAGGTGGAGCTTCATGAACGTAGGCGGGCCATCGTGGGGATGTGTGATGGTGATGACGGAGTAGCGATGAGGGACCAAGCCCACGTTCTCACCACCTTTCTGAAATGACTCGACTGCGACGATGGGGAGGGATCGAACGGCGGCGGGCGCATCGCGCACCATGCCAACAATGTCCGCGAAGGGTAGTTTGTCCACGCGCCTACCAGGCGTGTCTGGAGGAGCTTCCTGGCCGTCAAAGTCGAGGTGCTGCTGAGCGTGAGTAGGATGGTGCGGGTTGATGACGGAAGATTCTAGTAGTTGGGCTAGGAGAGCTGTGCCTACCCGAGTCTGAGAGATCTGCAAGGAGAGCGAGGAAGTTTGCGCGAGCAAAGGGAGAAGAGACGAGGCGCCTGTGATGGAAGGCGATGTTGCCGACGATGCTGCAGAACTGGGGATGAATGACATGTTGTATCGCGGACGGGAGTGCTCCGGGAGGTCACTGATGGATATCGCCAATCGCCTTGGTCATCATTTTAAACGACCTGGTGGGACATTGGAAGGTTTATGGTGCTGCGGCAGACGTTGTACAGGAGGCAGGTGCTGCGGTACATAGGTTGAACCTTAGACGTTCGAAGAACTCAAAGCTATGATAGAAGGTCAATGAGGTTATCAGGTGGTCCATTGAGATAGATACCGTCGCCTACCCAATGTCGCATGTTTGGAAGACGCATCTCGAGAACACGATGAATCCGAATACCTCTTACACGGTTCTGGAGGCATCACTAATGCTTGAAAGCAACAGCGGAAGACTGCATTGGCTCCTTAACAAGGATGTGACGGCAGCGCAAGTAAAGGACTGCGATTCGAAGGAAGTGCAGCCTCAAAAACCCGCCTCTTCCCTCCTACATATACGTCCCTGTCCACCCAAGCGTCGTTGTCAAGCTCAAGTTCGGACGGACGAGCGTCTCTGGAAACAGACGTCCCTCTATGAGCCTATACTTGCTGAACTTGAACGGGGAGCCGAAGAGAACAATGTCCGCAAGCCACGAGCAGTCGCGTGCATGCACGTCGTGCTTGAGAACGCGCTGATCGGTCACATCAAGGAACGCGGCAAAGGGCATTGAGGGAGGGACTTCCGCACGCACCTTGTCCTGGCTCGAGCTCGAGCGCAACAAAGCGGCGGTCGCAGGGCGGGATCAGCGTGTCGCTCCCGTCCCAGTGCTCGGCTTTGAGCGCTGACCCGAACGTTCCTTGGACGGCGGAGAAGGATAGCTTAATGCAGGTGAGAGGACCTCGACGAGAGGTGCATAATGGTCACTACGGAGTGCTGATAGGGAATCAGGACTGTAACCCCTGCCCCGGAACGATTCTCCATTGCAAGGACAGGGAGAGTGCGAAACGCACAGAAAGCGTTACGGAAGAGGCGGGCGAAGTCCAAAAAGGGGAGTCTGCCTGCACGCTGCATATCAAAAGATAGCCCTCCGAGTGCGAGGGACGGCGGGAGGCTAGGAAGGCCTTCACGAGCGTAACTAGGAACGCTAAGCCGTCTAGCGTTTGCGGGGACTGGAGCCAAAGGGTGCCGCCGGTGCGAGGAGGGGCGAGCTTCCAAAGACGAGGGGCTCCGGTGGCGGACGACCCGGCGAAGCTCGGGATGAACGACGTCGCGCTTCAGGAAGGCGGAAGCCATCCTGTCGACGTTCGCCGTTTGCTTCATGTACAGATTGAAAGACACGATGCGTCCCGTGGGGTTTGCTGCCGTCGATATCGAACGTTGTATGGTGGTCGCAGCGGTTCAAGATCTGCAAACGACGAAACTCCGTAATCCATCGCGGTCAGTACTATATGTCTACCTCGTTCAGCTGGATTCAGGGGAACCGTACAGCTTTGCACGCATTGTGCAACTCTGTCCCACTGGTGCTAGGAGCGAGGTGGACCACGCGCGCACGGGGATTCGGGGCACCCTAGCTGAATAGCACTTGCGAGGTGAGAAAGCGAAGACCAAAATCACTCGCCGTCCTGAGCGGAGTGCAGGGAAGAGCGGCGCACGAGCGTTATTCCAACCACTCTACGCCCGCTGTCCATGCGGGTTGCATCCAGGTACAATTCCTGCGCACTGACACCTCCACGAAGCCATAGCCTGGATAGCAGATCAACGGTACAGATGCGGGGAGTCACTCACGACAATCCTCCGCAGCGCGAGGGCAGCGGGACGCCCCAAGTCCTGTGGCTGACGTCCCGTAGCGTGTGGTCGTCTATACCAGGACCTGATCATGGCGCATGCCCGCTGGTGGACCATCCCAAGCAGTCGAAATCCCAAGCCGGCACGCTCGGAAGATTTCACGAGCGTTCAAATCATGGTTGAGCTCAGTAGTCCCGGGCGCGTGGGCAGACGGCGGCGCAGACACGGTACGGGCCAGTCCCGTGCAAAGAGGCACCCGAGCACTGGCAACGGGACAGACGTCCTCTTTGCTATCGGTCCCGGCGGGCCGGTAGACAGGTTAGCAATAGGATCCGGTGGGGAGGGAACAAGGTAAATAGAATGGCCTAGAAGCAATCACCGCTCGTCCGCGGGGAGAAGCCGGCTATTTGCGTCCTCTTCGGCGCTCAGAAGAGATCGAGAACAAGGACAGGATGTCACAGACGCGCTTCGTCCACCGGCCGTGCACGCCAGAAGGAATTGCACGGGCACTGGAAGATGTTCGTCGTCATCAAGTCATCAGCCCTTGGAGCTTGCGTAAATTAGCAAGATCGAGACGCGGGTTAAAGCGTCCGTGCCACCATCAGCGTTCATGCATTACGTTGAGGTATTGTAGGGTGTTAGAGAGGGTACCTTGGACAAAACGCCCAGTGCTCGGGGAACCGTCGTTCGATGGGGATTAAACGGGTTGGAGAACGGGACCGAAATAAGGATATCGCAGAGGAACAAGCAGAGCTCACCGGATATACAGCAAATCCTTGCATATGTTCCTTGAGGCTTGAGTACTTGTAATCGAGCAAAGAGCCGAGAAGAGAGGGCTATGGAGTCCAGGAGATCGTTCCAAATCATCCTAGTGGATCCAGAGAACGCCTATCATCCTTGGTCGCTCAACTATGGGCCTCATCGCGCCTGTGACGCATCGCAGCGTGCCGGATGGACATGACTATCTGCTTAACAGAGAGTCAGTGGCATTTATAGTTGTGGGGCAGGAATTCCGTCAAGAATACCGGCATGTACACACAGCAGGCGTTAGCCGAGGAGGTGAATATTGCGCGACAAGAGCGGACCATCGGTAGTTCTTCGCTTGCACAATCCCACGAAGGTGGTGATCTGTCAGATATGCCCGTTTGCGGCGCCACCACGACATGTTTGACGGTCAAGAAGCTGCCTATCTCCGCACCTGTTCTTCCCAGACGCTATACATTTGCAGTGACGCCGACTGAAGACGCTTACGATAGAAATTGCAAGTTGATTTGAACATATCCAGGGTGTGTGTCGGTAGCATTGGATAGATGAGCACGAATCGGCAGGCAGCAGCAGAAGGCGTGGAGTCCGAGGAAGAGGTTCAGGGAGGAGCACGACCGGGAGGAGAGCGCAGAGCTGTGCAACTTCCCAGCCGCTCTGCGGGCGCCCCTGCGCCAAATTCGCAACTCCGCTTGATGCCTCAGCCCACGATGCACACTTCCGCGTGGATGCTTCTCTCTCAGACGCACACGATGCTGCCATGGTCCAACAATTTGCCTCCACATTGCCGTCTCCTTCTGCCGCGTTTTCATTCGTGCTTCATTCAATCGCCCTGTCTTCCAGGCTAGCATGCCGTGAACGTGCTTCACCAGCTGGGAAACACTCATCAACGGGACAGCCGGCTAACAGGGCCGTTGAACATCGGATGCCGAGGAGTACGGTCGGTCCACTCTCATGTCGGTCTGTCTGTCCATGCAGCAGTTAATCCAACACTTACGAAAGATTATCCAGTGCTTACATACACGATGGAGGACCGAAACATTCAGGAACGGTCGGAGATGGCCAGTACGTGACACCTTCTCAGGTTATGTCATGTTCGAGCAAGCCAACGTCGATGATGATGAGCAAACGCACTGACAGATCCAGATGGTACAGGCGCCCTGAGAGCGCGCTGACTGCGGCTCGAGGTCGTCCGTAATTGAAGTGGTATTCACCGAGACTCCCACCGCAATTATCGCGCTAGCGTCGCTCCACATCTCGTGCAGGCCTCGAGGATGCTCCTGCATGGTCCAATGCCCCTGGCGCGGCGAAAGAACGATCGCACGGCGCTCAGCCAAGGCCGTTCTTGTCTGCTCGCAGCTTAGTCGTAAGACGGACGTGTGCAAGGCCGCGTTATCGCTGAGGCATCCAAGTGTGCTTGAGGAACGCTCGCTGCGTACCCAGCGAGGCGACGATTATTCCTTCTTAGTCACTAGGCCCGCCGCCCGACGTCGGCGAAGACGGGTGTCGCGACCACGGCTCGTCTATCGACTGACAAACGCCTTGTACATTGATCGATGTCCATCGAAAGAACGAACGTGCCGTTACAACATCAGGGCGATAGGGAGGCGCGAAGACGCGAACTCGCACTGGGACGCGCGGGCCAATTGCAAGCGCGATGGAGCCCGCGACGAGACGCTCGGCCGCACGCTGGTTGGCCGTTGAGCACATCTCGACCGCCCCGTCCCGCGACTCCATCAATGCCCGGCGGTGCGGCGTGCCATGCCATAACATGACGCGAATAAGGAAGCGCGTTCCTTGAGGTTTGGAATCGGATTCTAATCTGTTGTATCTTCCAGCACCTCGCCGCATCTCCATCGCGCGCTCGTCATATAAATATTGTCCCCATGCCGCGCATATATCCACCCTCCTCCAGTCCGTCTCTGTCCTGTATCCTTGCTCCCGCCCTCGCTCCGCTCATACGCGACACGCATCCTTGTGCAACCTTGCGGCCGCCTATAGCCCCCCAGCGAAAAAGACAATGAGGTCCTTCACACTCGTCATGGCGGTCATCGCCTTCCTCGTCGCGACCGTCGCCGCCGCGGCAGCACCCGGCACGAACGCAGAGCGCATGGCTCGCGGCCTCCCTCCCAAGGCGCCGCGCAAGCTTTACCGCAAGGACCCGACCCCCGCATCGCGTGTGTACCATGCCTTTCCCTCATGCGTTGCCACGCGCTTTCCTCTCCAGTGGACCTGGCGCTCATGAATCAATATACTTATGCATACGTGTCCTTGTAGCCGCGAGGAGGAGCACGCCCTCTGGCTCGCCGAGTTCGTGCTCGACGGGGCCCGTTCAGTGCTGCAACACCTTGACTACCGCAAGCGACCCCCTTGCGAGCGTCATCCTCGGCCTCTTGGGCATCATCCTTGGGCCCGACGTGGCTGTCGGTCTCACCTGCTCGCCCATCTCGGTCATTGGCGTTGGTGGTGGTTCCTGGTGAGTGTGCTTCTGGTCAGCTACGTGACATATACTCGTCCTGCGTTAGGAACGGTGATTGGGATCTGCCAATATTTGCGGCTGCTCGACCATGTCTCTACTTGTGTTTGTTCTTGGTCTGCGGCGTCGATCGAGACTGACGTTGATGTGTACGCCACAGCTCGGCGAACACGGTGTGCTGCGAAAACAACAACGTGGGGGGCCTCATCTCCATCGGTTGCATTCCGAGTACGTCTTCATCATCCAATGGTCCCTAATTCAGTTTGCTGAACATGACTTTCTTTGTGTCGTTCCCGTCGGCAGTTATCCTGTAAGCCGGGGAGGTCGTTGTTCCTGGAAGCGAGTAAGCGGGAGCGCAGCCTAGCTCGCCTTCGTCTCGATCGGACACCACTTTAGCTCTCATAGACGCTTTCTGCTTCGCTGTAGGGGCGGCCGATGTCAACGGATCCGAGACTCGTCAGATGCAGTGCTCGTCGGATATTATCTGTCCCTTATGGCTTCTATATGCCTTCCGCTCATTGTTTGTTCGTTCCGGAATTATAGACCCGCGTAGCGTACAGACGCAGACACCTCGTACTCACCGCGCGTTTAACATGTGCTCCCTGCTGTGCGCCATGCAGCGTCGCTGTCATCGAGTGCGATTGTACTGCAAGTTCCGCGATAGTTGCTACTACTATAGTGTGTTCTCCCGAATTGACGCATCTTACCCGGCCGAAGCCATCACGAAACTGCGGTTCTATCGCTGCCCGGGGCTGCCCCCGCTGCATCGTTGCGCCGAGCTTGTCGGCTAGGCGATCATTGGTAGCCATGAACGTCGTCGGAGATGCGTCCAACGCGTATCACAAGTCCCCTGGTCGTGACGCTGCGCAAGGGTCAAGGATGCGGTCGAGGTCCTCCACGCTTTAACACCTTCAAGGCATACATTACATCCGACGGGGCGCACGCACGTTTCCCATATCGTCGATCAGTGGCGCGAATATTTGCGCTTACGCTAGGGCGGGCTCCCGCTGCTCGCGGCTGCTCGTTACGTCCTCTGTCGTCAGCGTTCGTCGCCGTGGGCGCATGGCTAGAGCGGAGGGTCTGGTCGCCTCATCTGCGGCGGCTGTGAGCTCAACCATTGCTAGGACAGCGCCAGTTGTATGAGCCGCATCGTGCTGTTCCCAAAAGAGATTTTTATTCAGTTTAGTGAGTCGGAAGAACGGTCATCATGCTACGTACCTCGCTCTCGGAGGGTCCGAGTCTCTACATGATTCGTATCTCCCGAGAGGAACTGACAGACTTAGCCCCACCAGAATTTATTGTAGAGCATAACACGACCGTTCGCAGTGTAGGGGCCCGAAAGAGGGCGGCGTCGAACGTCGTACTTGCATGTGCTCCGACTCGGAAGGCGCGCTGAAGATTGCAATGCTCTTTCACTTCGCTCCAATACGTTAAGTAGCGCTACTATCCAGGGTTCTTCAAGGCATCCAAGTATGTACAATCAGTTATACCGTATGCTACTGCGTTGCGACTCGGGAGAAAAGTCGACTAGGAAGGACGACTAGCGAAACTCATGCCACAGCCTGAGGCTGATAACATCTCGTCCACTCTCTCCCATAGCAAGCAATTACAAAGTAAACGGTGAGTGATTCGCGTCCCATGGACTTGACCATCCCTCGCCATAAGAAAGAATCTCGATACTCGTCCGGTACCCATATCGCCAGATTACCTTTCATGTCCGTGAGCCACCCGTCCCACGTCTCGAGCTTCGGAGTAGCTGACAGCCCCGACGGGGCTTCATCTGAGCTTGTTGTCATAGCTCTGTAGTTGATGACAGAGGGATGAACTACCAGAGGATCTTGAAACAATATCTCTATGGTTAGCTTATAACTGACAATAGGGTATTTGCCACTTGCCTGTGAAAGCACTTATATCCCAAACAACGATGGTACTACGTGAAGCGCTGACAAGGCAGCGACCATCGAGAGAGAGGGGGAGAGAGGGCGAGAGAGAGGGCGAGAGAGTCGATGCTTCCGAATGGATTGGACAGACATTCCCCGACACTGAGCTTTCGCGTCTGTGCGTCCCACATCCGTATCGTCCCGTCCTCGTCCCAAGACACGATCCGTCGATAGTCGGGAGGATACATGCAATGGTACACGCTGCCTGTGTGGCCGCGCAAAGGCTCACCTGCTGGTCCCCATTTTTCCGTATCCCAGAATACGATTGTGCCGTCGTCGGCGGATGAGGTTACATACCGGCCGTCCATGGACCATGAAAGGGACAGGTACCCTTGTTTGTGGCCCCTGAATGACTCGCCAATCTCGCGCCCCGTCTCACTATCCCACACCCGCACTGTCCCATCGTCAGAGCCGGATGCAAGGTGCTTGCAATCCGGTGACCACGCGAAAGACATAACACAACTTTGATGCCCCCCCAAAGGCCCGACAAGACAGTCGTATGTCTCTGCATCCCAGACGCGAATAGTGCGGTCGTACGAACATGAGACAATCCGGCGGCCGTCCCGAGAGTAATCAGCGTCCAGCACCCAGCCCTTATGGCCACGTAGAGGCTCTCCGAGTGGTTGGAGTGTAGTCGAGTCCCAAACACGAAGTGTTCTATCCCACGAGGCGGACACGAAGCGACTGCCATCCGGAGAGAACCTGACACGAATTATGACGTTGGAATGACTCTCGAAGTGCCCGCAGATGGATTTGCCAGTCTCCGCATCCCACACGTCGATCGTGCCATCACCGGAGCCCGATACAATCCGACGTCCGTCAGGCGAGTACGCAAGCGAGGTCACACGGCGCATGGGGGCGGAATCTGGTGGATCGAGAGAGACATCGCCAGGGCTTTCCACACTCGCGCTCTCCTCTGTCGACCAGATCCGTATCGTCGCATCCCACGAGCCGGACACGACGTGGCGACCGTCAGGCGAAAAGCTAACAGCGCTTACGAGGCTGCCGTGCTCAGCGAATGGTCCCCCGACAATCCTGTATGTCTCCAGATCCTATATGAGGATGCTACCGTTCCGCAATCCAGAGGCGATGCGCCTGCCGTCGGGAGAGAGCGAGAGAGACCATACGCCATCCAGAAGGGGGTGAGATATCGTTTTCAACGTCTGTTGGGTCTCGAAGTCCCAGATTCGGATTGTCGAGTCATATGATCCCGAGACAATCCGGAGAACATCCAGCGAGAAAAGGATGGAAGTGACAGCTGATGTATGGCCTTCAAGGGGTTCCCCCACAGCCTGTCCTACAATTGCGTCCCAAACCCGCGCCGTCGTGTCGTTGGAACCGGAGACGATGTATTGACTGCTCGGAGAGAATGCGACGCAGTGAACGAATGTCGTATGGCGGTGAAGGGCGGGCTTATTGACCATCGCAAACGTTTCTGTGGACCAGATGCAGATATGACCATTGCAATCGCCAGATACAAGGCGACGTCCATCTGGAGAGTACGCGACACACTCCACTGAGACCTCGTGGCCCCGTAGAGGTTCACAAACAGCCTCCCCTGTCGCTGAATTCCATATCCGCACCGTCGAATCAAAGAGCGCCGCGGCAATGTGTCGGCCATCCGGCGAGAAAGCAACACCCCAAACCCGGGAGCGGCAAGACAACTCAAGGATTGCTTCGCCCGTCTCCGCATCCCATACTCTCACTGTCTCGTCTGTCGATCCTGACACGATGTGCTGACCATCAGGAGAGTATGCCACGGAATGAACTCCGTTTGTGTGCCTCGAGAGGACGGCATGAGCCTGCGGCCAACGGTCACGAACACGATCAATGAGCGGAAGAAAGGAGAAATATGGGAGATAATTGGTCCGGACCCTGGACGACGCCGAAGAGAAAGGCAGAGCTGACATGTAGACGTGAGGAGCGGCCTGGGCTATCACACCGGCAAACCGGCGGATGAAGAAAATCGCATCGCGCAAAAGCTCCTTTGACGGGTCACTTCCAGGAACCTATGACATTCGTAAGTCAGATCAAGATAAAAGTGGGCCAACTACAATAACAAGGCTCACTTTGTAACACTTCAGCGCTGCTTCCAACGAAGGGGCGGCGCGATTGACGAACTTCAAGAGGCTGAGCAGTCCGAGCCAGAACAGAAGCTTCTCTCGTAAAAACCTGCTTAGTTCTTGTTGCAACTCTGGCGGTCGAATGATAGCGAGGTGGTCCTTCCAGTTGCATGACGAGTACGATAAGCTCTGGGGGACGAAGGTGGAAAGGCGACCCTCCAGATCAGAGATGTCACGGTTGAGGACGTAGGAAGTACTGTCTGACCTACTTGGCATGTTCATAGCGTCATCCTACTCCTACGTCTGTCGCAAACAATCAGCCATATTGACCCATCCTCATGGGGGCGGACAGTCTCGATGTCGAGAAGCAGAGTCGGGGTGACGGCAGTCGGAAGGCTCCTTAGACGCCGATATCTCAAAGAAGGTATTTCCTTATCGTCCTGCCGCAGCATTTCCCACTTCATTGCAAGATTGATAGAGAATGCATCGCGCCTCACTCCACTCGTAGGACTGCACCTCCAACGTTGCCTCTATCCGCATTCTCCGTACAGCGCGCAACCATGAGAAGGCCACGGACATGATTTCATTCTGGGCCTGTTTTGACCGGCTCCTGTCGCTGGTGCGTACCTTCCCCGACCTCGCGGACAGCCTTCCGGAGTCTTCCTACAGGCGTTCGAGTGACCATGGCTCGCCTTCGCCACGCTGGCTACATGTCAAGAACCACAACAAGGATAGAGAGCGGACCGTGAGCGGGATAGGCGGAGGGACATGGAGAAAGAAGGAGAGGGGGCATGGCCGGGAACGGGAGGGGACGGGGCAAATGGGGGGCGGTCTATATCGTTCGTGCAGGACAGGGAACGTGAGCAGCCTCGTCAGCGGGTTTAGGCCCTCGGGCACAAGAACGAGAGCCTCCTCGTGCAGCCGCGCTCGACGTGCGAATCGCTCTCGAGGTTATCTACTGCCATCTTCCCTCCCACAATCCCCTCCAATCCCAGTGGCTATCCGCATCCTACCCCGCATCACCTCCCGACGCACTTGGGTCCGGCCACCCTAGGCCGCCGGCGCAAGCACAGGCTCGCTCTCCCTCGCCTCTCCGGACTATTGCGAGCGTCATTCCCGGCCTATTGGTTTCGTGGTGAATGCACTTTGGGTCTACGCGACATATCTTTGCCCTGTGTCAGGAACGGTGATCGGGAGCTGTTGATGCGGCTATTCGACCATGTCCCAATATGTGTTTGTCCGTGGTCTACGGCTTCGATCGAGATTGGCGGTGATGTGTACGCCCCAATGTGCTGCGAACATAGCGACCTTGGGGGCCTCGTTAGTTGCCTTTCGAGTACGTCATTTCCTTGTCGTCCAGTTCCCTCTCGTGTAGCCTGCTGAGCATGACCTGTTTCTGCATCGGCGGTTGTCCTGTAAGCCGGGGAGGCTGGTATTCCTGGGAGCGAGTAAGAGAGGGAGTGCAGCCTCACCTTCGTTTCGATCGGACCCCTTTGGGCTCTCATAGACGCTTCCTGTTTCGTTGTAGGGACGGTTCATGCCTACGGATCCGAGACGATCGTCAGATGCAGTGATAGTCGGGGACTGTCTGTTCCTTGTCACTTTGACATGCGCTTTGTTGCGCGCTATGCATCATCGCTGTTATTGGTGCGACAATGTTGTGTAGTAAGTTCCGCGCAATGTAGTGGCTACTCTACCGTATTCCCTTGACCGACGCATTATACTGAAACTGTTACACTCCAGAATGGTCAAATTTATGATGTTAGCTCGTCAATAGCACCTTGCGAGAGCCTATGTTCGGGGAGCGGTACGCAAACTACTAGATATACGAACGATAACAATGTGGGAGATCTCGGCAGATTGACTTGGGTATAGGCACAAAGCAGCAATCATATCAAATATGAACGCTATGCAGTGCGTTTCGCTCGCCACTCGGAGACATCACACTGAGTCAGCGTCTCTACGGTGTACAGGCTACTTGAAACGTTTCCACTTCCTACCCCGGAGATTCGTTGCATTTCCGCCATCAAGCTGGGCCAGAGTCGCATCACGTCTGCGACTGCTAGCGGGGAATACCAGATAGTCGAACCCTCGATAGCCTATCAGTGAGCAAGTTCCCACCATGCGCAAGCTAAAAACCCGAGACCGATGTCATCGGGGTGATCTGAGCGAACATACATATGCGACGATTAGATCTTCCCGAGAGGTTCGTATAGCAAGCGAAGACTACAGGCTGTGGTTGACGGCAGATCTTCCATTGAGCCTGACCGAGAGGCTGCACTCGAGCCCATTGTGGGTCGATTTTCATTCCATCGGTCCCTAGTGCTAGCAAATCATCCGTCCGATTCGGTGGAGGAGAAGGTATAAGATCCTCAACAGTTGATGAGGGATTCTGCAGTACTCTTGTACTACAGAAGCTACACAGTTCCAGCATGAAGTTCGCGGTCGCTGCCATCGTCTGCTCTAACCTCCTTGCCCTAGCCTCCGCCTCGCCAACGGCTCGCGCCGCCCCCGAGGTAAGCCTCCTCACCGGTCTACATCTGCTCTGGAGACTCCACCTGACACACCGCCGTTCACCACTGCAGCCTGCAACCGTACCAGACTGTGGGTACTCGACCGTGCCACTCCTGCGCGCGTACTCAAAGTCGGCGACCGCCCACTTCTACACCACGAACGCGACCGAGATGGCCGCCTTCATCAACGGCGCTGACCACTACATCTCCGAGGGCGTCGCTGCGCAGATCCTGCCGTCCGACACCCAGGCCCCCAGCGCCGTCCCGCTGTTCCGGCTGTACGGCGCCAAGTCGACGGACTACTTCTACACGGCGAACACAACAGAGCGCGACGAAGTGCTCAACCGCGGCAACTACGTCAGTCAGGGCGTGGTGGGGTACGTGTATCCGGACCAGGAGTGCGGCACGGTGCCACTGTATCGCCTGCACCAGGAGCCGGACGAGGCGAACTTCAACTTCTACACGACCGACCAGGCGGAGGTAGACGACTTCGTGAACATGCTCGGGTACAACAACGTGGGCGTCACGGGGTATGTGAACCCCCAGTAGGGTGGCAGTCGGTGAGTTTCTGGTGTGCATACGTGCATATATCGAAAACATGCCAAGCTCATACTTTGATCTTCATTCACAGACCTGCGAACGGATAGGGGCCACGTTTCTGCAGCGGTTCCCGGGTGCCGATATGTTATAATCACGTACAAGCTACACTATGAAGTGGGTCTGTGATTGACTAATGCCTCTTACGTACCATTGCTAGCGCAAAGGAGTCATGCATGCTGGATCTGAAGTGTCAGATAGATCATCCAGCAAACGTCTCGAAGAGGATGTTCAATAGGGTCGAGGAGCCGTCGTTATTGGCAAAATCGCTGATGAGCTACCCATAGTGCTTGGCGAGAGGGGATCTTCCAGGTTAGACTTTTTAGTGATGAGATGCGTGCTCGTACACACATTTCGTGTTCGGCGGCTCTCCCAGTTCAAATAGAAGAGAGGCGTACTCCGCTGCAGGAACAACGGAGCTCCCGACTGGGTGGCAAGATCGGGAAGTTGGCCGTACACTATTCAAAGGATGGTGTCAGGGAGGCAGATGGCGAACACCACTACAGTTTTATACCGGCGTTCTCAGACGCAAAAACATCGACCAAGTGTGCAAAGCGCCTTTTGGGTGTGGAAAGGAACGTCATAACAGTAGTCCGGACGAGCATGTAGAAGTTCGTGGGGAAAGAAGATGATATTACGGGCGATCCGAGTAGCACTATAAATACATGTACTAGATAATAGCTATTGTACGTAGGATCCGAGAGAGAAAGCCAAGTGGCGTAATGGCCATTAAAAGGCCATTGTGTGAGTGCAAAACAAAGCGTCGTACCAAGCGCATTATACTACAACAGAGCATCCTGAGGACAACAAGGAAGCATGGCTGGCCAAAGATGGAGCTCTTGCGCAGTTTAGCCCTATAGGAAGGTGATGGGGACTAGGACCGATAAAGTAAGGTCAGCAAGGGTCTTGGGATGTAGTACAACCATGGAGCGCCGCGAGAGGGGGCGATGTCGAATGCCGGCACGACGTGTATGACAAGACGTTGTTCACAGTTCCCTATGAGCAAACCCGCTGATGATAGCGTCGCACACCAGATACGGCAAGAACAGCGTCGTGACTCTCACATGGCAACAACGTCGAGCTCGGATAGGGGTAGAGACGACAGCAGTAGTTGCGGACGTGTGAGCAGAAGTACAAATAAAAAAACCGGCCCCTCTCACTATTTCGCGATGCCAAATGATCATACGAAGCGAGTAGCCTACAACGAGGTCTGCATACCTCAGGAATAACAACCCTTGCAGGTCTGCAGACCTCCCTCACATGAAACGAGGGTTAGAGAGGGGGAAAGTGGCGGGGCGCCCTACGAGCGCATCAAACTTCGATGGGTGAATCGAACAAGGAACGTGGTGTTCCTTGGGGTGCAACCCATTCGTAGAGCTTGCGCACCGCTATCTACTGGTACAAAGGGGCCCAAAACGAGATGTAAACCGGGAGAAGTACGCGCAGGAGAAGGAGAGCGGACGCAAGTGAGGAGGGGAATGTCAGAACGGAAAACCGCTGGTGCTAAAGGCGCATCAGCGCGCAAGTCTTGATGATCAGAGTTCCCAGAATGGTGTGATGGCGCTTCATGCAAGACTTGAGCTTGAGGGTTTGCGCGAAGAGGAAACTAGAGTGCGTAAGTACACTTGAGTTCGCCGACAGGCTAGCCGTCGTTGCGCAGAGCGCCCGATGATGCTGGGTCTAGTTGCACGTGTTTAGTCTAGCTCAGGAGGAAGACGCTCAGCGCTCAGCGCTCGAGCACTCAACACGGTTGAGTGACTCCTGGGCTGCCTTTCTTTACCAACAATCTATCCGGCGACCCTACCGAGCCATATACAAGACTTGCCTGATTTTGATCTGATAGTACAACTCTACAAGCACTCGCACTGACGACAATGAGAACGATGCAATTCCACAACTGCTCTCGCATCTCTGCTCTCCACCATTGCTCGCATCCGTATGCGCTTCCCTCGCCGATGGCCGTCCTGCCCCAGCATTCCAACCTGATAGCAAGAACGATAGCGCATGCTTCGCGTACCTATGAATTTCCAGCTAGGACTGCATCCTCAACTTCCCATCCTCCACCCGCTATCCCGCTCGAGCGCACGCCCCACGAGTGTCACGGACGTTGGACAGACGCCCCTTTTTGCCGCCCATTCCCTTCCCTTTGACGCCCACCTTCCATTTCTGGACCATTTCCTTTCTTAGCCCATCCCAGTTTGGACACTGTAGATACGTTCCCACTGCCACATGCTCCGCTCCCGTGATCACCATGCTCTTGCCTTTTCTTTCTCGCCCTTTGTTCTTCCTTTGTCATCTTCACTGCCTCGCTCTCGCGCTTTGTCTTTGGTTGCTAAGCAGCCCCTCGAGTATATAAGGACCCCCTTAGGCGCTCTCTAGTCCCCATCTCGACCTCTTGGTCATTGGGACTAGGTGAGTG